TGTGTGTGTGTGTGTGTGTATATATATATATATATATATATATATATATATATATATATATATAAAATGTAATGTATAATAAATGTGATTTATTGTCAATTAGAAATCAAATTTTTATTTTATTTATATTTGATATATTTTTTTCACATGGCTATTAAATGAAAATTTGTTAGAGGACATATGAATGAAATCAAATTACTTTATTTTTTCTTCTTTTTTTCTCTCTCGTCAGCTGTAACACTTCAGTTTCAGGTTCTCGTCTCTCTCAGTCCATCACCGTAGAGGAGGACAACTGCTGTGGCTGTAACGTTCTTGCCATCCGACGGCAATTTCTGGACCAAGACCTTAAAGAAGTCCAGATTGTCTACACATCCTGCCATGACGCGGTACGGCATCTTAAATTAATTCCTCAGCTCCCCTGACTTAATCCTGAAAAAATCCCGAGGCGTAATGTCTAGTGTGATAAATGTCTGTTCACATCAATGAGTCACCGCCTGACTAAAATAGCTCAATTTGAGAAGCTGTAGCTAATGTGATAAATGTGAAGCGTGTGATCAAGACAAGTTATTGTCTGTATTTTTGATGGGATCTGCAGGTTTATGAGACACCTTTCTTTGTAGCAGTGGATCATGTGAAGAAAAAAGTCGTGATCAGCATCAGAGGGACGTTGTCCCCTAAGGTGGGTCAACAACGCAGCTCTTTCTCATTTTACACATAAGCACATGAGGTTAGGCTTCATTGTATGTTCATAGAATTAAAATAGTAGCTGTTTCTAAGCAGAGTGCTTAAGCAGTGACATTAGAAAGTGCTTTAACACACATTTTAAGGATGAAAATAATAATTCAGTCATCAGTCATCCATAAACTATACATCCGACTGCAAGTACCAGGCTATCGATTTCCTACAAAGCTGTGCTAGTTTCATGTTTCTCGTATCACTCTGTGGTCTCTTCCATTTCACATAATAAAATAACTTAGACTCAAATCAATATTTCATGTCCTTTAATTTATTTATTTGTTAAGTAGCCATGTAATAGGTGGGCTAATGTACAGCGTGACGGTCAATATTTCTAAATAACCCCAGTAGTTTTTTTTGCGATAATGGCTGGCCTGCTGTACTTTATCCCTTACGCGAGTCTCTGGTTTGTCATTTGATAAATGTATACCTTTCTCAGGACGCTTTAACAGATCTTACAGGAGATTCTGAGCGTTTGCCTTTAGAGGAGCAGCACGGCACATGGCTCGGACACAAGGTGCTACACAAACACGCATATAAACTCAAACACTGGCAAACAGAAAACATATTGAACTTTGCAAACTCATTCTCATGAATCCTTTATTTAGGGAATGGTTTATTCAGCTGAATACATAAAGAAGAAACTCGAGCAAGAAATGATTCTCTCTCAAGCCTTCGGGAGAGATTTGGTAAGTGTAACCATTTGTCATGCTTTAAAACATACATATAGTTGACATCACAGGCATTTTAGACATCACAGAGCGTAATTATATTGTTTTTCCACAGACTGCAAAAGTTAGAAAAGTGTTCTAATTTCCAAAAACTTTTGCTGTACGTCCGTGCAACACACCATTCAAGGAATCACCATATGATCAGTTGTGATTAAACTTCAAAAGGCTTTGATATAATTAAATAAATGTTAGCACTGCTCATTCAAAGTAAAAATACAGCGCTGTTGTGCTTTCTACAGGCTTCCAGTAGTTTCAATAATTTGCAATCAGTGAATACCAAATGCTTATGTTAAGGTTTTTATATAGTAATATGTTGTAGAAGTTTGTAAGAGTGCATATTTTATCCCCCTCACCTTTTTGAATGAGCAGCTTTGAGTAAAAATTAGGGCTGGGTTTTGACACAAATTTCACGATTCGATTCTCATTCACAAGCTTTCGATTCGATTACCGATTCGATTCGATTCAATATCGATTATTTTGGATATATATCAGGTACAGTACTTGCCAAATTTTCTCCAGGAAGATCATTTCCATGATCGATCGTCGGTTAAATTAACGATCAATTAATCGATTAATCGTTAACCTTAGTGCTGCAAAATGCGTCTATTGCAGCGGCACGCAGGCATGACAGGATGTGCGAAAGCCACTCACACACACAAAAAAAACACCACCTGAATTAAAGGAGTTTTAGTCTGAATAAAATGCTAGTGGCAGGGGCATGACAGGATGTGCAAAAGCCACTCACACACACACAAAAAAACGCTTTCTCACCCGAATTAAAGGAATTTTAGTCTGAATAAAATGCTAGTGGCAGGATTGTAAAATGAATAAGTGTGATTATTATGATTATTTGATAAAATGAAGAGAGCGCGCCGTACGTTTGAGATCATTTTACTTTGTTGACTGTTTCCTATCCCGTCAAATGCGCCTCTTTAAATGGTTTAGTGGATATTTATGTATATATAAATACACACACACATGCATGTATATATTTCAGAAAAATATAAATGAAATATATTTATAAATAAATATATACTTACTTAATTTGATCCTGCTGGATCCTGTTCAGGAAAATGACAGATTTTGAATTTTTGCATTCCGGTAGGCCTATTTGTTTTTAAAAATCCGGCATTTACAGTGCATTAGATCGTGACAGTGCATGCTTGCGTGCATACGAGGACGAGCGAGCGTGGGTTTGGATAGATGCATTTGGAGGTTATTGCTCACGTCTCATTCGGCACAAATCCAAATATTTCCATATTCTCAATGTATTTGAATGTTAAACTATTATTTATAATGTAAACTAGGCTTGTACTTTACACGCATTCGCATATAGACGGAAAAGATCATCCTCTTCACATGAGCAGAAATGTCCTTAACAGCAGAGTGGACCGGTATACTACGGTCTATTTAAACTGACCAGTGTAACCTTTTATATGTTTGGTTGACTGTATTTTATTTTGATAATGAACAGACTGCGATGTAAATATGAATTGCTAGTGTAGTGTAGTGATATTGCGAGAACAAGGGGTGGGAACGAGACAGTGATCGCGAGAGTTAAGAGAGCGATCATGTAGTTGAGAGTGTGTTAATAAAGTTGAGATAACAACAATACAGACTGGTTATTGAGACAAACAACACAACAGCTAGAATATGCGGTGTGTGTGTGCGCGCGAGGCCCCGGCGCGATCGAACAGCTCAAGCATTAAAAAAAACTCAATTTTTGGAGTAAGATATAATCCACAAAAGTGTTTACTTTTATTTTTGCACACGCACAATAAAAACGGAAGATTTGTGCTTTGTAAAATAAAGCAAACAAACAGAATGCGCGTTGTCATCCTGTCCTTTCCAATACAGACTGGTTATTGAGACAAACAACACAACAGCTAGAATATGCGGTGTGTGTGTGCGCGCGAGGCCCCGGCGCGATCGAACAGCTCAAGCATTAAAAAAAACTCAATTTTTGGAGGAAGATATAATCCACAAAAGTGTTTACTTTTATTTTTGCACACGCACAATAAAAACGGAAGATTTGTGCTTTGTAAAATAAAGCAAACAAACAGAATGCGCGTTGTCATCCTGTCCTTTCTGTAAACTTGTTTATGGAGCGCCACACTTCTGTTTTAAATCTGTTAGCTTAATTATTTAAGTCAGATATATTTCGCTTTTTTTTTTTTTATGAAAACAAAGTGTTATTTTTATTTTAGGCCTATTAATTACATAGGCTATACATTTTCCTTAAAGCATCCCATTTTGTTTCAGGGCTTGAAAACCTTGTGCACTATAGTTAGGTCCATGCAGAAACTTGTGAACGTTGCTCTTATTGTGGCATCACGGTTTAGTGACACCATTGAATGCTCTGTGAAAACGTATTGTCCGTGTCGATCACAGCGCCTTTTAATTGCTGTTTTGAATCCAGCAATAATTTATTTACCAATTATAAGCTCTGATTATGACAAGTGTGGTATAAAAGCTTTGTTTGTTAGAGGAATAATTGGTTAGCTGGAAAATGTTACATCGCGATCATGCTTTTGGATGTCGTTTGAGCCCATTTACGTGACTTTGTTCTGGTTTGCCGGTTGGTCACGAATTTCCACAAATTCAGTAATATTTAGGCATTGTTTCTCACCATCTAACCCTCTTAATTTCGCAGGTTTATTTTATTGTCATTCACTTTTTATCACCGTTTTCGCATCTCTTACTGTGATAAACATGCGGGAAGGGAAATGAAAGATTTCATGGCAATGAATTAAGAATTCGTTCGATTTATTAATTTGTTCCCTCATTTTAGTTAAATCATGGGTAATTTAAGGAACAAAATTAATGAAACATGGACGGTGGCCACAAATTAGCAAGTCGTAGGAATGAATTAACAAGTTGTAGGAATGAATATCCTATCTGTCCTGTGTTCCGCAAGCCCTGCAAAGTTTACGATATGAAACAATTATCTGGGGAAATTAGATATAACATTTCTATTGCTTTCCATGTTGTTTAAATTTTAATGTACGTTTAAAGTTTAAATCACATTAAAAGCTTAATTTGTACATTATGAATGAATGATGATGCATTTATATACCGTCACAGTCACTCATGTTTTGCGCATGAGCCGCGCACAGCCCAAAATTAAATCGCTTTAATCGATTGCATCTCTTATCGACAATTAATCGATCATCGATTAATCGTTGACATCCCTACTCTCAACTAATGCTGTAAAATATACATAAGAGTCATTTGGTACTACATTACTATAATATTGAAGGTTAAAATTGACTAATTTGTACGCTATAGCCTACAACTGCTAAAATTACATTTAATTAAGTTTTTAAAATAATAAAGTTACAATTACATAATAATATTTTTACTTCAATTCGGGTTTTTTTTTATATATAAACATTTAAATGGTTGTCATAAAAAATTTATGTATTTATTCAAACATAAACATAAGAACAGTAAAAATTATAATGAATATGTTATGGGGTGCATATATTTAGCAAAATGCCCCTCTCTACACTTTATTTGACTAATAGACTAATGAGTTTATGGTCACCGAATATTTTTGTTTCTGAGTTAAATGTGACGTTACGTGACATTGTTTACAAGACTTTATATTGACGTCTTTGCGCGGCTGAAACACTGATTGAGCGATTACATGAGACAGGATACAGATTGTAAAGTTGTACTCTTTCTTTTAACTTAACTTCAGATGTTTAGTCATGTTTATTTTGTGCTGAAGCTGGTATTAATGTGGAGGAGATGATTAGTTCATGTGCGCCTCGCGCTGCTGCGTCTGTTGAACTGAGGCGCTACAGCGATCTGTCACTTCACATTTAACGGCGCCAAAACGGCATTTATCATTTAAATACTGCAATGCAATGAATGGACAGAATTTGAAATCTGAGACTTTGCTTCATATTAAAAGCACCAAAGCACAATATTTATTGCGATATATTGGATGGGAAGTGCCCTTCAATGTTCCGTCCATTAACTGAAACCTGGCTAGACTAATCGATTCTTGGGATTTAAGAATCGATATCGTTCCGTAAAAAAGTGAATCGATTAATATCGAGATATCAATATTTTTTGCCCAGCCCTAGTAAAAATGCATACACATGTCAAAATAAGAGCGTATTTCCGGCTTGTTTATAATTAAAAGTCCCACATTATGCATAAAATCTAGTTTTGGTTACACAATCACCTGTATATGGTGTTTAATTCAACATAAAATCTTGTGGCTTCTCTCTGAACCACAAGAAAATCTCTCTATAGGTTTTACTAGTTTTGGCAAATTAATCTGTTTATTGCCTCTCTTCAAACTCTGTTATTAATGTATGCGCAGAATCTAATATCAGTCAACCTCAAATTTGTATGGATTGCTATAGAAGTACATAAACCAACTACAAAATATGTATATCTTGAAGTTCTGAAGTCGAATGTTTGCTTGTTGAAGTAAAATAGTACTTTTTGAGATTGTCTGGGCTTGTTCTGTATGAACATACAGTTTTCATTTCATTTGTGCAGGTCTTAAAAAAGTTTTTTTAGCATGGTATCGAGACAAAACTTAAAGTAGTAGTAAATTCAGCCCAGTATCTTCAAACAACATTTGCATGTTGCTTGCAACATTTGCATTGTGCATGATATCATATGACACTAAAAAGTCCAATGGTGCTTGCGTGTGTGTCTCAGGGTAAAGGGACGATGCACTATGAGCTGGTGATTGTGGGTCACTCTCTGGGTGCGGGTACAGCCGCCATCCTGTCCTTCCTCCTCCGGCCGCAGTATCCTTCACTGCACTGTTATTCCTACTCCCCTCCCGGCGGCCTGCTCAGGTCAGTGTGACCTCTCTATTGTTGCTCTGGCATCCGTTTTGCACTACATTTATAGAAAAACCTGAAAACTGATCTCGTCTGAGAGAGAGAGAGAGAGACCATGTTTAGCCGTCACTGAAGCATGATGACATTAGATAAGAGATTAAACTGATGTGTTAAAGGATTAGTTCATGCAAAAATGAACATTTTGTCATTACTGTTACAACCTGATGTCGTTCCAAAATTGTATTATGAAATTAAAATTTCTGTTTCCACTCAAGGAAAGTGAATGGTGATTTATAAGCTCCAAAAAGCATTATAAAACTAGTACTCTAAATCCTTAGTTATGATTTATGAGCCATAGTTCACAAAGCATTTTTCTGTGTTTTTTACTTCTTCTCATCTGCCATGTCTTAGATCATATTTTGTGCAGCATTGTGGTCAGTCACATGACTTGTGAGAACCAGAGGTGTTTGGTATTAGTGACAATTGCAAGTGTGAATTTGATTTAGAGCTCCAGAAAAAAATGTAACGCTGGAGTAATGAAGCTGAAAATTTAGCTTTGCATCACAGGAATACATTACATTAAAATAGAAAACGGTTATTTTAAATTGCAGTAATATTTCACAATATTGCATTAAAAAAAAAAAAGAAAAGAAGACAACTTAAAAGACTTTCAGAAACATTTTAGAAAATCTTACCAAACGTTTCATTGGTAGTGGTAGTTCATTTGAAAGCTATTATGGCAGCTTCAGAGTAGCATTCTTTAATGCTTTTCTAAATGAGAAAAAAAAACTCATCTCCTTCTCTGTAATGCAATTGGTTAATAGCACAAAAACATGCATCGATGCACAAATCCGCTATTATGGCAGCTTCAGAGTAGCATTCTTTAATGCTTTTCTAAATGAGAAAAAAAAACTCAAGAGATTTGTCACAAGCTACAGATCTCCTTCTCTGTAATGCAATTGGTTAATAGCACAAAAACATGCATCGATGCACAAATCCACTAGATGCACTAATCTTTTGGAAGGATATTATTTGAGTTGAGAGTCACTCAGAACCTTTTCTGAGTTTTTGATTTAATGAGAAAACTCTTACCTGCCACACTTTAGTTTTTTTTTTTATTACATATTCTTTGTAAATCTAAATATAAAGTCAGCATTAAATCAACTGTTGAATATTACACTGAAATCTGTCACATCATGGCAGTAGAACAGATTGTGAACACTGTTTTTTATGTTGACATCAAAGAACATGTTTGAACACAAGCTTCTGTGTCTGTTTAATTCATAGTGAGGATGCGATGGAGTACTCGAAAGAGTTCGTCACCTCAGTCGTGTTGGGAAAAGATCTGGTCCCCAGGTAAATGAGTGTTCAGCTGTGCTTGCGTATATTTATAAGTCTGAGCAGACGGATGTTAATCTTCTTCTGTTGTGTTCATTCAGGATTGGCCTCTCTCAGCTTGAGGGCTTCCGTCGCCACCTACTTGAAGTCCTACAGAAGAGTGATAAACCAAAGGTGAGCTGCTTTAACTTGCTTATTCCCAGAGTTAGAACATAGTCTCCATGTGCCACGAACTGTTAATTTACTGTATAGTATACGTAACTATATTAATTCCATTCCAGTCAATGAGATAAAAATTTAATGAAATAAAGAAGGAAGGAAAAATAAGAACTTGATAAATGTTTTCCTTTCAAGAAATGTGTACACAGTATATAAGAAATTATCTACAATCACTCTGGTTTGATTGCAAAATAAGGAAGATCACGACCCTGACAAGGAGTGGTTTATTTTATTGCCATAATAGCAAATGTGGTTTATTTTGCCATAATGATGCTGACTGTACATTGAACTAAATATGTACAGAATCAAGCATTCTAGAGAGTCCATGCATGTGGGTGATGGTGCAGTAGCATTTATTATCACTGTATTGTGCCAGTAATTAATTGCCCTCATTATATCTCTCACATTGTGCTTCGCCCATATCCTTTTCCTTTGGGCGAATAAAGTAAATGATAAATTGTTATGTTACTAATTATAACCTCAGATCTGGGTTTCTTTTTTCTTTTTTACATCTCTTTTCTAGTTCATTCAGTGGAACATTAATCTCTTTTCTCAGGGTTGTGGGTTTGGGCCTCGCATTTGGGTGCGGTTTAAAAGTACACTACCATTCAAAGGTTTAGTGTCAGTAAGATTTTTAACTAGTTCACCCAAAAGTGAACATTTTCTGAAAATGTACTCACCCTCAGGCCAGGGTTTGTTTCTTCTTTGGAACAGATTTGGAGAAATGTATCATTGCATCACATGGATCCTCTGCAGTGAATGGGTGCCGTCCAAACAGCTGATAAAAACATCCACAAGTAATCTACAAGTAACTCCAGTCCATGAATTTACATCTTGTGAAGGGAAAAGCTGCATGTTTGTAAAAAAAAAAACATCTATACATTTCAAACTTCAAACTGTTGCTTCCACTAAAATACAAATCCTCTATCCATAATATTGCTTTCTCCAGAGAAAAAGTTGTCTCATCTAAATCAGGAGAGGAATATGCACAGATCAAGCTCCGTTTACAGGTGAAAACAAGCCAAAACAGTCCTAAACAAATATGTGGGTGGATTTTGATGTGAGAGGACAACTTTTTTTTTTACTGGGGAAGCGTTATTATGGATTATGGACTCATATTTTGGCCAGAAGTGTCATTTTAAAGTAATGATGAATTAAAATATGCAGCTTTTTACTTCACAAGACATTAATTGATGTCAAGTGTCAAGTGAGTTGCTTGTGGATTATTGTGATGGTTTTATCAGCTGTTTGGACTCTCATTCTGACGGCACCCATTCACTGCAAAAGACCCACTGGGGATCCATTTCTCCAAATCTTTTCCCATGAAGAAACAAACTCATCTACATCTTGGATGGGCTGAGGGTGAGCACATTTTCAGAAATTTTTTGGGTGAACTTTTTCTTTATTTTCTTTCTTTCAAAAAAATAAAAATCTTATCGACCACAAACTTTGAACAGAAGTGTACTCTATGTTAGTGCTTGCTTACATAACTTATAGTAGACCAGCTGTCCGGAAAAGTAGTCACCTACTCAGTTTAGCTTATATAAATGACTCACCATACACCACACAGCTTCAGAGATTTTTTTTTTCTGTTTCTATCAAATCCAACACTGTGCTGACGTGCAGCAGAGATGATGCAAAAATGAAAGCGTAGACGCCTCCATTGCCATTAATGCTGCTTGCATCATGAACAGCGTCTCATATCTCACTTATATTTTCTGCCAGCCTCTGATTAGTTTCAGGGAAGTTTGTGACAAATTTTGCCTCTGTGTGATGCATTTCTGCTTATTAATGTGCATTATCACGCTGCCTACTTTGGTGCTTAGCTGCTCTTAGCAGGAAATTATGCTTGAAATGCTGCAGCTCACTAGGTTTTGGAACAGAGCCTGTATGTTTCTCTCTGTCTGTTTCCATCAGTGGCGGATCATTGCTGGGGGTACAAAGTGCATCCCTAAATCAGAGCTGCCCCTGGATGACGAAGCCCCTGTATCTCAGGGCGTGACCCCCTCTAACTCTCGCCTGTGGCTTCACCCCAGTGACCTGAGCATCGCCCTGTCAGCCTCCACACCGCTCTATCCACCGGGACGGGTCATTCATGTGGTGCACAACCACCCGCCTGAGATGTGGTGAGTAGAGAGGAAGTAAACTGAATGGATTAATGGAACAAGGAAATGGGAGTCTGCTCTTCAGATAAGGGGTACACTCCAGTGCCTGGTATTATATTGAAATGTCTGGCACTGAGAAATGGCAGTTTTAGAGATTCTGCATATTTAGATTACTTGTATGAAGGTAATTTAATGGCTAAAAGATTTGCATACGCAGGGTAAGAGTTGTGGAAGTGTACATAAGACTGTAAGCGTAAATTAAATTTGCATGCGCAACAGAAGCTTTGTGAAGGTGTAAATCGCGTTTCAAGCATAAGAAAAAATTATTTGCAGCATTTTACTGTTACTCGTAAGTGTAATTCAAGTATTGTGAAACTGCAGCTTCATGCTAACGCAAAATCAATATGATCTGCATTCTTCTGACTTCAATTTTTCCGCGCTTACACTTTTGGCACGTTGTTTTCACTAAAATACGGTCAAAAGTACTGCCTTTGAACAGTGATTTGCAAGCGAAAACAGTTTAAAAGAACTGCAAAATGGATTGACTGCATAGAACCAATCTGTATGTGTGAAAAAACAAACTGTTGCAAATGTCTAAATGACTTGTTGTGCATGTGAGGCACCGACAGCTCCAGATATTTAGCATGCCAAATATTTTGCGGGCGTCGGCGACGCATCGGCGATTCCCTCAGATCGCGTCTCTGATAATTCACACCGCGTGAACGAGAACCGATTTGCCTCTGATGTCGGGCATTTGTCGGCGATTTCACAAAACCTGTCGGCGAGTGAAAAATCCAGCTCCATCTTTCTTTTCTCTGCGCTTACAATTTTGGCACGATTCTCTCACTAACAGAGTTTTGCAAGCGTGCGGGGGAGGGCAGGTCCACCACCTTCTTGTAGCCAATCAAATGAAGCTCTCGCTGACTATCCATTTACTCTTATCCGATTGGTTCAATAAACACATCACACGCCAAAACATTAATCTTCATTTAGTTCAGGATCGTTCTCGCTGCCAGAATGGTACTTTTAATGTACACATTACAATAATAATTGAACCAACAGTTTTATGTGTGTGTATATACAGTGGGGAAAAAAAGTATTTAGTCAGCCACCAATTGTGCAAGTTCTCCCACTTAAAAAGATGAGAGAGGCCTGTAATTTTCATCATAGGTATACCTCAACTATGAG